GGAAGAAGGAGCATGCCAAGCTAGAGAAGCACCAGGGCCTGAAGGAGGAACTAGAGAGGATGTGGAAAGTAAAGGCCAAAGTGGTCCCAGTGATGGTAGGAGCACTTGGGGCCGTGACTCCTAACTGGGAGAATGGCTCCAAAAGATCCCAGGAACAACATCAGAGCTCTCTGTCCAGAAGAATGCAGTGCTGGGAACGGCTATGATACTGCGCAGAGCCCTCAACCTCCCAGGCCTCTGGTAGAGGACCTGAGACTGAGGAAGACACAGACCACCCATAGGGGTGAGAGGGGAATTTTTTTTCATACACAGAGAGAGAGAGAGAGAGAGAGAGAGAGAGAGAGAATGAGAATTAAGCTTTTTAAATATGTTTACAGTCTGGGGTGAAGACTCCAATTCAAACATTACCATATGTAGTTCATTTCCCTTTTGATTTTGATTTTATTCTGCTCTATCTCAAGGACTTATAATGGAATCTGCCCCTCAGAAAAATGTGCAAATATATGCATCCTTTTCCTGTATCACTGAAATTGCTGAACATTCTCACTTTTATGGGATAGTATCATATACAAAGTAAATGCCAGATGCTATCCACCTTCAATTTAGGAGCATCTTCCAGTTTGTCATGTATTCATTTACACAAATGCAGTTTAGGTAACAGGAATCCAAAAAGAACTTGGCAGTCCAGCACATGAGACAAAATGGAAATCACAATCCCATGGATTTTGGTTTACTCTGTATGTCAAAATAAGGCTATCCAGTTCCCACCAAATGCTTTGGGCCACAACTCCTATCATTCAAGCTGGAATTACCAGCGCTCTGAGATTATAGAAGTTGGATACTATTCCTGCTCTACTTCTCTGAAACAAATTTAAATATATATTTTTGCTACTAAGGAACTGTTTCAAAGTGACACTGCAGTAAGAAAATAAAAGAATGACACACCTCCTTTCAAATACATCAAAATATAAGATTCAAACCTGAAAGCAGCACACTTGTGATTATGATTATTTCACAGTATCTCTGATACATTTCAGATCAACCCTCCGTAAGTACTTCTTTAAAAATGTAGCTCTGCAGTAGAAAAACAGCTCATGTTCATTTAAAATACTGAAACATGTCATCTCCAGATTCCTTCTTTTTGTATGTATTTGTCTTTCCTAATCATAGGTATGTGAATTATCAATTACAGTTAGTGGTTAATTGCCCTTCATAAAGATAGCTATTCTATTTTAAATTAGGCAGTTAATATATTGTAACTAATAGCATCCACTTGTATATTATAAATATATCTTCACTGATTGGAGCAATGAATGTGAGAATTACTCATGAGCTAATGAAGCAATTGAATAAAGAAGCGCAGAGTGTACCCAGGGAATAATTATTGTTAATGAATTATTATGTGACCTTCTCAGAACAATGAACAATTGGAGTGACAGACGACAGCACTTCACATCTGTTATTCCAAATACAGTGTAAACTGAAATATAAGCACGGTCAACATACACACCTGCCCTCACACATATTCACAAACAAAACAACGACTTTAAATGGAATTATATGCAATTCAAAGAACTTCACAAACCTTGCATAAAAAACCTCACGTAAAAAACTAATTAGACTTTCATGTAATGAAAAATTTACATGAAATAAATAATTGAGAGGTCCTGCCTGGATTTTATGGTCATTTGATTGTTAAACTTAAAAAGTCAATGCAGAGAAACCTGGACCAATCCAAATTTCTCAGACAGCGTGCTTCTACTGGTTGAATTGCCCTGATAATTTGTTATCTCAGGTAGAAAAATCCCACCGTCAGAAGACATGGTGAACTATGTTGGTCACTGAGGCAGAAAACTGTGCTCTCTGGAAGTTAAAATACAATCTAAATAAATTCATGTTTTACCCATTCAAAGTGAGGAACATCAGCTGCCTGCTTTGAGTGCCTTACTCCTTCTTGGAGGGGAGGGGGCAATATTACCTACAGGGATGTTTTATATCAGATGAAAAGTATAGGATTAAAAATTGCTTGTGAGTTGAATCCCACTGAGCCTTTAGCTCAAATATAGTCTTGCTCAATGTTCTTACTGCTATTTTTACACGCATATTTAAGCCTGCAAGATACCTTTTCATCTCAAGCTCTTCTGTATTATTCATGGCCTCTTGCCCCTTTTTGACTTTTTGCAAAACTAGAAATGCATTGACTAAAAAAGCAACCCAGCACTCAGACTAAAGCAGGGTTCCTCAACCTCAGCAACTTTAAGATGGGTGGGCTTCAACTCCCAGAATTCCCCAGCCAGCCTTGTTGAAGCCTACCCATCTTAAAGTTGCTGAGGTTGAGGAACCCTGGTTTAAAGCATCCATTATAAAAGTAGTCCTTCATGTTGTTTTAGTTACACTTCTTGCTATTAGCCCACTTGGAAGAAACAGTCATGGAATCATTTGCTTGGAAGATGTTGTGGCTTTTTGTTACTAAGAGGAGACTGGAATACGTACCCCTGAGTCTTACCAGTCATTGTGCAAAGAGCAGCAATAAGACCAAAGAAGTGCATAGGCTAGGGTCACATATCATGACAAACTATGATCTGGTTTGTTTGGGCTTAATCTGTTTTGTGAACCCAGCCATAGTATGTATACCATGGTTTATCCTTCATATGTTATGAAAATAGCCAACTGTGGCTTATTCAAGCAAATTATATGGCAACACAAACCATGGCTTAGTATGATTTGTTCAGCCACAGGGAAATGAAGGCAAATGAAATAAACACAATTTTGCATGCTAATATAAACGCAACCTCAGATGTTCGGTCTTCAAATTTCCAAATAAATTCTCCTTAGCTGTTAAATCTTTCTAAATCTTTTCATCCTGCTTTTGCAAAGGAGCCACAGCAGCAATTTAGCAACAGTGCTTTAACATGATCCTTTGCTATCTCTCTTCCCCATCTGCCAATTTTTGTCACAACCTTTATGTCACCCAACTTGAGAGGGCAAAAACAGGGTTCATATTTAACATGCCCATAAGCTGACCCCAAAAAATGTTGGCAAGGGCAGCTGGCTAAGACTGTCCAAGGTCACTGAGGATGTCCAATAATTGTCCTAACACTTTACCTGTTATGGCACAATAATGAGAGTTTTTTTCATTATTTTCGGGTGAATGAACCTGGCAGATGCTGACAGCCAGCAGATGTGTAAAGTTCGAGGTGATTTGTAAGGGACCAGCTCATCTGACGCACAGTAATTGCATTGTGGGACACTGTCACTCAGATTCTTGTCCTGTTCTGTCAGAATGAGGTAAAGGTCAGTTCAAAGAACTGGTATAACATCAGAGACAGCTCCTCACTGAAATTTAAAATATTTTCATACATCGCCTTCATGCCCAACCCAAAACATAAGGGTATCAAAACTATGCCCACACTTGCTGGTGATAATTGATTTGGGAAAAAATAGGGATTTGCAGTAGCTTGCTTTATTGTTTTCAATGTTGCTTGCAGATGTTTTGCTTCCTCATTCATCTCTCCATTTACTCCCCTAACAGAGACATTTCTTTCTTGATAATCTACCCTTTATCTAAGGAACTCAGAATAAGATACAGGAAGTATCAAACAGACTTTCAAATGGAGAGGTACCTTTGGCAAAAAGAAATCTCACTACCTGCTTATTTAAAAAACTGATATCCCACGTGCGTATGCATCACTCAAAGTCGGACACTACCTCTCATATGCCAATAGCCTGCAATGTGATGAAAACATGCGACAGAAATTCAGAGAAACCCAGCACTCAGAAATCCATGACAGATGCGCACATACCTTCCTTTAATATAGAAATGGAAACTCAACCCACTAGGTTTCCAGGCTTGGTTTGGAGGTAAATTGTAGTTTGCAGGAAGTATTTATACAGATTTCTGAAAGTTTGCAGCTTATGAAAATATTTCCTAAAGTTTTGACCTTCCGGGAGATCTTATTAGTTGAAAACAGCTTAGCAAACTTGTATAGACAGTACATTCTTCAGTTATCAGAATTTTTGAGTGGCCCAGGATGTCCCTAATTCCACAGAAACTGGGAAGTTAACACACAAAATGTTAACCAAAAGTGTCTGCCATACAGTATATATATTGCTGATTCCGAGCAGTTAAAAGATAAAGCCCTTGATCAGAACTGGACAGGATTCCTCAGACCGAATATTCTTTTGCCAAAGCTACAGAATACTATAGGTGCACTACAAATTAATCTTTATTATTCATATTTCTTATTCTTCAAGTTATCATTTAAATTGTTACTAATAGGCAGCCAATGTGTTCCTGGAACCTTTG